TTGTTGTTGTGTTGGTGGTGGTGATGATGGTTTTGTTTTGTTTTTGCTATTAACAGGTAATGAAAAATATCTAGATTCATATTTTGTACATTAAAGTTTTCCTCCAAGATTCATTAGATAAAATTCATAGTATTCCCTAAAAAGTGCCAATAACCATGCATCTATGCATAGATTCAATACAAATGAGGTAATGTCATCTGGAATCTCCTGTGTAGTGTGTAGATTGTCTTGCAGAGGTTCCTTGTTCAGGTTTAGCGTCACGTGGGGTGAGAAACAAGCAGACATGTTCATGCAGTATTGTTCTGAGTACATACTTAATGCACTTGAGGAATAATCAGAAATATGAAAGAAAACTGGTGGCAGTGCACTTGTCTGCCACCCAAGAACAAATGAAAATCTTAGAAATGGTCTGTAAGAGTAGGCTTGGTAGCTCATGAAATCTTAATGCATGGCTGTGTTGTTTTATTGACTTGAACTTCTTAATCTGCTTATATGACTGTCTCTGGCATATAGACAGAGAAACTGAAGCTCAGTGATTAAAATCTGCTCCACAATAACCATAGATCATAGGAGATCATAACAGACTCTCACATATAAAGGTAACATGAAAGCAGGTTGAAATTCTCTTTAGTGCTCAAGTACATCAATATTCAACAACTGTCATTTTAAAGAGAGGATCATAATAAAAAATATTCAGATACAAGACTACAAACATTTATCTCTTGAACTCTTCCATCTCCCATAGCTTCATCCTTAACAATTTCTTATAGATTATCTAGAATGTAGGACCTGCTGTGTGACACAATTCTTGGGATGATGTGAACAAACGTCTACTCACCCCAGACAGTAAAGCAATGACAGACCAAAGTAAGAATACCACAGAAGTTCTGCTTGATGAACCAATGAGATTTTGGGGGAAGAAAAGACTCAAAGATAGATACATTCCCAAAGCAAACCTCAACATTTGTGGTGGCTCACAAAAACTGGAAACCTGGAGTGCAGAGCACAGATACCAGGCAGCTTGACAGGTTGGAGTGTATATTCTAGGCAGCTCCTCTGGTTTGTGAGTGTCTCTCTGAAGTTCTTACTGCTTATATATGCTTGGCGAGGGAGGGGATAGTTAAATTTTTCTGTTTCAGGGATTTGAAGATTTTGTGTTGTTTGATTCCTGAAATTAGCAGGTTCCCTGCAGAAAGGAATGATTTTACCTCTTCTTATAGTAGTGGTTTTCAACCTTTCTAATGGGCTAACCCTTTATTGCATTTCCTCATGTTGTGGTGAACCACAACCATACAATTATTTTTGTTGATACTTTATAACTGCAATTTTTGTAC